TTACAAGAAAAGGTTCGCGAGTATGAAAGCTCACCACCGCAAGGATGGTACCGTGAACCAGCGAAATTAATCCCCGGTGTAAATACTAAATGCAAACCTTATCTCCATCAATTATGTAAACTATGTAACACTTTTGATCTTTTGTTCTTGTTCCACTAAACTTGATTGATATTTACCTAATTAGGAAACCAACTGATCCTCTGTTGTGCAGAGAAACAATTGCAATCCAGCACAATGTTACATTGATCAATCTCAAGTAGCAAAGAGAGGCCCTGTGTTTCTATTTTCTGGGTCCAACGAGAAAAGTATGTCTCACTCCCCTGCATTTCCTCGGTGCTCGCACAACCCAGTAGAATCTGAAGTTAGTACATCCACCGCCTTCAGAGAAGCAGATCATCATCCTGGAACAGCCAACAAAACTACATCTTATCAAATGTTGCAGCCTCGCAATTACACACCTGTCATAAGAGAAGGTGAAAGAACTGATCTCCAATCTCAAATGGGATATAATGCAGACAACAAACCATGTGAGATGAGATCGTGTAATACTGATATTGCTGCCGGTGGTAATAATCTGAAAGAACCAGAGCAGAGCATTGAAGGTGGTAGAATTAACATCTCGAGTGCATATTCTCAAGGGTGAGTATATTAGTATTCCATTTCCTTGTTTAGTGTGGTACATTTTGATATTCATGATCTTGAGTCTTGCATCCAATCAACAATAAATTCAGTGGTCTTGCAGCAAAGTTAATTGTGGGTAGAGGCTAATAGTATTGGTATGAATTTGATGTTTGATTCATGAATAAGCGACATTAAATATGGTTTGTTGATGAGCAGGTTACTAAAAATTCTCACACAAGCGCTACAGCGTTCTGGAGTGGATATGTCACAGGCCAGCATCGGTGTACAAATAGAGCTTGGAAAGAGGATAAATTATAGAGAAACTGTCACCAGGCCTGCTATCGTGGTAAACTAGAATTGCATTGCTCTATATAATGAACGTCCTTTTCCTAGTTGCATCAAATCCCAATTCCCCTCGTTTTCTCTTTTTCTGGCTCTATTGTTTCATAGGATGATTCGTCTCGCCCAAGTGAGAGAGGGATCCTTGGTACCAGAGGTGCAGCGGCAGAGGACTTGGAGCAGGCCATCAGCAAGAAGCAAAAGACATAAAAGAGATGATATAATGAGTATGCTCCAGTCAATTCATTTTATTATAACATCATTTCATTTTTACGTCCCACGAGGGGATTGTTGCCTCTATAATTATTTGGGAATCTATGCATATGGCCCAAGATTGACTGTACATTATGGCAGTTCATTTCTTAGTTTGTTTGTTTGTTTGTTTGTTTTAGTATATGATGTGTAATTATGAGAACAAAATATTGTATGGGCAGCCACTTCTTCTGTGCTTTTCGTATCTCAGACTATTAGAACTCAACCTTTGCTTCCCACTTCGCCAAAATTTGACAGCTTCGGTGGCCATGTGCTTTTTGCTCTTGTTAGGATTCTATGACTTAATGGTTCAAATCTCAGATGCGATCTATTTCACTGGTTGATTTTAAACGACCTCTCGATACAAAGGTTTGGAAAATGATCCCTAGTTTCCTTTGTGATCAAAACTATGCTACTCATCATTTGATTCTGGAAAGGCTCAATGAAAAAACAGAAATTCAGTTTGAGAGCAATTGGATATACAGATCTTGTTCTACTATCTTAAATGATGAAATTAAAGTTATTAAAAAAAATTCTTGGACTTAAAAGAAAGTAATTTAATTATTACACAGAGAGGTAAATTGATCAAATGGGTTGAAAAACCAAAAGAGGATCTACAAATTTCATTTCCCCTTATTTTGCACTAATTCTTTCAGCTAAACAAATATTTAAATAATTATTAAAATACAAATTTTTAACTTAATATATTATTTTATCTTTAATTTATACATTTTATAATGGTCAAATCAAATACTTGTCTTCATTTATTTATTTATTTATTTGAAGTTTGGAGGATCCAGTAGGAAATTTTATCTTCTAATTATTAAAATTCATTTAAACATAATAATTAAATTGAAAAAAAGAGAGGGTATCGCTATGGTTAAGAAAAAGGCAGGGGGTATTTTGGTAAAAGGAATTTCTCTTGATGTTACGTTGATGAACCCGAAGAAAATGAATTTCAAAACTCGAGCCCAACGACTCTCACCGTCCAATTTCTTTTCCTTCTTTACTCTCTTGCTTTTCCTTTCCGGTTTGGAACTTACAGAGGGGCCTCTCGTTTCTCTCAAAATCCTTCCTTATATTACTCTAGATTTCGTCTTCTCAAATCATGTTTGAGCCCCAACATTTCGTCGATTTGCAAGATAACGATGCTTTCGCCGATAATAAATCATGGCTTTCCGGCGACCACAACTCGTCCCCGACTCCGCTCCTCAGTCGCTCTTCACTCTCCAATGCATCGATTTCAACTTCGGCAACTACTGCTGGTGGCGCTAATGGAAATGTTGATCGTGAACTCTACAACAATCTCGTCGAGATGGTGCCTCTCGTTCAGTCTCTCATTGTAATTCCCCTATTTTGAACTCTCTTTCACTCTTTCATTGTAATTCTCAAATCACTGTTTAGATGCAGGGGAATGATGGGGTTTGTCTGAATTTTGTTATGGTGGCACTAGAGGGGGGCTGCGGGGTAGTTTCCCGAGTCTCGTGTTCGACGGAAATTTGATTTTGAAATCGTACTATTATTAGGTTTGTATAAATTCTACTCAGGGGGTGCGAAAGGCTGGAGTTGTTTATTTTCAGAAATGGGAACCGGGGGATTGTTAGGAAAGAAATTAATTCACCCACTCCATATTTCTGTGTTTGGGGAAGGCGTCGTCATGGTTGAAAACGTAATTCGGTCGTGTTGTTTTGTGATTTCTTGTCAATTTCGAAGTTCTTCGTTCCGTCTCTCTCTTTTATTTTTATTTATTTATTTATGTTTGTTGATTATGGATTTTTGTTTTGGTTTAGGATCGGAAAGCGAGCAGTTCATTCTCGAAGCGGGGTTCCATGATTTACACGAAGACGCCTTCTAGAGAATCATTGCACCGGAAAGTCAGTATTTTTTACTCTTACGTGATTTGGTCTTCTTCTATACACTTATTCTCTGATTTTAGGAATTCAAGGGGTGGTATATAGCCGCTTGATTTCAAGGGTGTTGGAGTTTACTGAATTATTTGTGTCATATTCTGTTAATTTAAGCGCAGAGCTCCATGACTTTTCAATTTCTTCTCATTCTGTTGCTAAGCCTATTGTCATTTTGTTTTCCTTATTCGATGATTTTTAAACTCCTTTTGTGTGTATTTTGAAAATTGAACAGAAAGGTAGGAATATTGGCCATTCTGTTCCGACCAAGAATAAAAAGGATCATGGCGGCAAGGACCAAGGTCTCGACGTTGATAATAATCCAGATAATGATGCCTTTGCAGTGTTGTCCTCAAGCTCTTTGGTCTCTGAAAGAGACAACGAAGAGCTAACCACATTGAGAGAACAATTGGAGGATCTGCAAAAGAAATTGCTTGAAAAGGATGAACTTCTAAAATCAGCAGAGATGTCAAATGACCAGATGAACAGTGTTTATGCAAAGCTTGATGCTTTGAATCTCCGGTCTGCAGAGAAGGACTCTATGATAAAGTCTATTCATTCCCAACTTTCAGATGCAAAGGTTCCTATAAAATTGCATTTTCTTTTAGATGGGTTTGTTTTGTTGAGGTGAAATATATGTATCATAAGTAAGCAAGTTGATTGATGAATCCCTTTTGCAGTTTTCTGTCTGTAAATATTCTGGTTATGTTCCGAAGATGGATGGCTAACAACTGTTTAAATCATTACACTATATGTAGATTAAGCTTGCTGATAAGCAAGCTGCCTTGGAGAAGATGCAATGGGAGGTAATGACATCGAATTCAAAAATAGAAGAACTAGAAGAAGAGCTAATGTCCTCGCAAGGAGACGTTTCATCGTTTATGCTGTTACTTGAGGGCTTGACAAAGAATGATTGCAATGAAGGCACGGAAGATTATAATCTTTCGTTGCATCTCCCCGAGAGCTGCCCTTACATTGTAAGTACATTATGATATGCTTTTCTATATACGAGTTTGTAACAGTCTGTTCTATGATTACAGTACAAGTTGTGACACAATCAGCCGTACGTTTTATTTATTGGAAAATTTATCATGCTTATACTTTCTGTGCTCTGGAATACCATACTGTTTCTTTTAAACTCTTCAGTGTTTGCTCCTCATTGTTGCCCTTGAACAACGGAAGCTATTTCTTTTGTCCTGCAGGATGATATGGACGACATGGAAATGCAGAAAATGGAAGAAGCAAGCCAAGCTTATGTAGCTGCTGTTGCTGCTGCAAAGGCAAGGCAAGATGAAGAATCTATTGCTGCTGCTGCAACTGCAAGATCATGTCTTCAGTCATTCGTTTTCAGGACTAAAGTTTCAGACGTTTATTAGAATGATCAAATCAATTGCGCTCGCTGCATTCAGCATTCAAATGGTATCAATTGGCATTTCAGCATTCATATGTTATCAATTGGCATTTCAACATTCATATGGTATTCTCCATGGGGGGTTACTCAAGTTATTTATTTGTAATAATTTGTGGAATCTGAAAAAGGGAACATTTGTTTTATTTTGTATGTATGATGTATCTAACCTTCCCCATATCTGTGTTTAATGGTAATGCACCAGGGCGACAACTCCCATGTTCTTCAATCTTTTAGCATCTCTCTCATTTTTTTGAGGAAGTTTAAATGATATGATTAATGAATGGATTGGGATGGTATATTCTGGCTAACAGGAGTTGTAAAGTCCTCAGTTATGTTTACTCATATTTCAGAATGTTGAAAATAAAAGAAAACTTGATAGATTGACCAAAAAGGGGAGTGATATTGAATTCCATGCCCCTATAAGGGTCGTTTAACACAGAAATTGGTAGATGAAAGTTGGTATTGACAACGATACAGGTATAAATGAAATCCTAATTTGAGTTTGTGTTTCAGAATTTACAACACTGGAATCCTACACACCGTGCCTTGTGCTTTCTAAGCTGCAAGCCTTCTGATTTTGGCATTTGCACAGGACTTCCACTCCACTCCAATCCTAGCCTGCATTACATCTCACATAGAATTAGCATTCATGTATCATCTTAATAGCATTTTCCCATATCTTTCTTTTTTATCATTAGGGGGTGCTTACACAGGAAAGGCGAAGGAGCCATTGCTGACATCTGAATGGTTAGAATCGCTTGATTCAGTCGGCACTGCCACGATCGGATCGCCATTGATCACCTCTTTGTGATTTCCCATTCTGTTCTTACCCATACCTGATTCTTTATCCATGCAAGTATCCTCCAGTTTTTCTCCCTCCTTATCCTACAACTCAACACAGAATGAAGGCAACATAAATGGTAATGATTCGTATTAGTAAATCTTCATATTAGTAATCGCGGTGATTTCTGAAGTGCGCATAAATGGTAATGATTCGTACCTTTTGAGGTGATATAATGTGATCTCCATCTTTTGTGTAGTAAGTATCAGGTGTACCTCCATTTATCCTCTTTTCATTATTGCATCTCTTGACTGCTTTATCATGTTCACCATAATTAAGCTGTTTAGAGAGACAGAGAGTGATTTCTTTATCATTCATATTGAATCAATCATATGATAGACAATAAAACATGAGGTTGTATATAAACCTTCCGACTAACTGGTCTTGAAGTTGCTGAAACCAAATCAATGTAATTGGAAGCATCTGAATTCCGATTCTTCATAACATCAAATGCTCCATCTTCTCTGAAACAGAAGACAATGTAGTCTTCATCTTCACATTGTGCCCAACTCGAATCATCAGTCATCTTGTTTTTGACAGCAACAACAGCAGCAGAATCTTCAGAATGCTCCATCTTTCCCTTTCTGTGCCTCGACATCTTCTTGCTATTACTTTTAGCTATTGAGGCAATACTCTTTCTGTCAAAAACCATGGCTCTTATCGGCATTGTGGTTGGGGTTGAAGTGAAATATGAGTCTGGTTCCTTATCTGTAGAAGAAGAAACTTCACTGTTAACATAACAAACCAAAAGGAAGTCGGTCAAAGACAGCTAAAAGTCATTGTGTTTTAAATGCTAGCATGTTCTATTACTTTTGGTTTTAGATAAAGGAAATCTGGAAGCTAAAAAGCATGAAGCCCAATCTCTGACTCGCCATCTCACCAGCCGTGTCATTGTCCATGGAGTGGACATTTCTGTGTCTTTTTCTATTGTCCAATGTTTTCTCCTGTTCGCTCTTCTATTCTAAACCAGTTTTTCTGAGAGAGAAAGAAACTAATCTTTGAATTTGAAAGAGACACCATTACTAGGGGAAGTTACTAATAATGAGGGACGAGTGAGTCAGTTATGTTCCTAAACATGGAGAACTTGGTCAGTTAAATATGTTGTTAAATGAACAACATTTTCAAAAGTACATTGCTGAATCCGTAGTTAGGTTTCTAAATCAAGATTATTCTAAAAGTAATTCCTTTCGTTTTTATGAAAGAAATGGTTGTGAGTGGCATGTGATCTAGCAATGGTAGACGTAGAAAAAACACAAAATCATCCAAACATCAGAGGAGAAGACCATTGAAATGCTAATTGAGATACAGAACAATATATACATATCAGTTACCTTCACTAATTCAATTCCGTTTCTGTTACCTTGTTGGTTGTTGTAGGGCGGAGATGGGTGACATGATCCCTTTGAAACTCGACTTTGTGTGGTGCTATTCGACAGAGGAAGCTTCAAAAGAACAATGCAGGCAGGTTTGGATTGACATTATATACTTGATTTGTTCAGGCTTAGTTGTTTTATTTGATGGATGATTGATGACAATAATGAAAATTAAAGACGTAACTGCAATGCATAATAAAACCGCCCACAATTATTGCACAAAACTAAGGCATTTCAAATTTTAAATTTTTAAAAACACAAACCATGTATTAATGGATTATGGGCATGAGTTGTGTTTTGTTTCCTCTTTTTTACCGTAGAAGGAGACATTTTCGGCGGAATTTATGATGGGACTGCGATTGTGGCATAGACAGAAGTTCAGCGCTACCCATTGAGTTGCTTTGAAGTGTAATGACGGCGATTAGAGCACTAACCAGATTGGTAGCCATTTTGGAGCAGAAAAAAATTCGACGGGGTTTCAACTTTTTGAGTAGCAAATCCGATTAAACACCCAATTCACTTCCAACTCTTCTGAGCCTTCATCGAAAATTGTCCAATTACAAGAATGTTCATGGTAGAGGTTTCTTTTTTTCAGCCTTTTGGGTTCTTTTTAGGAATACGAATAATATTGAACGAAAAAAATGACGTATTTGACTTACGTTTAATTAATTTAGAAAGAACATGAATATGTTTTTAAACAATATTCAACCAACCATCTTTATTAGATTTTTTAAGCATTTATTCTGAATGAAAGGATAGAAAAAGAATGGAATCTCTACCTTAGATTTATTTGAACGATAATCCTACATAAAAATGGCTTCTTTTCCCCCCTTTTTTGAATGAGATTTACAACGCCCCCGTGGGGAGGAAGAACAGACGAAAAGGAATCATTTGTTTTTAGAAAAATTAATCCGCACCCTCCATCCTCTCCAATTCAATTTGCAGTCGCCCTCTCTCAGTATTTGTTTCTCATCAACCCCGTTTGTCCACTTCACAATCGTGTATGTCTTTACAACAAAATAGCTGTTGCTTTTCTCCGTATAGGGATTAAACGTTTTCTTTCAATTACTTCTGCAGCAAGAGAAGGAGAGAGTAATGGCGACAATATCCGAGAAATTTTCGGCTGATTTTGCGATGGGTGGGGTTGCCGCGATTGTGGCCAAAACTGCAGCCGCACCCATTGAAAGGGTCAAGCTTTTGTTGCAGAATCAGGGAGAGTTGTTAAAGAGAGGCCATCTCAAGAACCCATATCTGGGCATTCACGATTGTTTCAGAAGAGTTTTGAAAGAGGAAGGGATATTGTCGCTTTGGAGGGGAAATCAGGCCAACGTTATTCGATATTTCCCAACTCAGGTCTTCTACTTTTTGTCCTTAACTTCTGATTTTGCTTGATTAAACTGATGTGGGTTTGCCTCTGAATATTCCTGTTCATAAGCAATGTGGTATGCGATTATGTGTTGGATTCAATGTTACTATTCTGGATGATGCTTTCTTTTCAATATCTTAATCATTTGAACAACACCCTTTTTTCCCCTTTAATGGAACTAGCTGTTGAATTAGCATTTGGGTGAAATCATGAATTTGGGAGCACTGATTCATTCTAATGGATGACAGTTCAGAGACATTCTTGATTCTTATGAACTGATTGAGAATTATTTGACTCTATGTTAGAACTCTCAGTTTATTTGTTTTCTGAGTAACCAAAGCTTTAAATTTATGTTACAATCTCCAAATGGTTTTAGAGAAGAGAATTTGAATCCATAGGCTTTCAACTTTGCGTTCAAAGGTTACTTCAAAACCAAACTTGGGCGCTCAAAAGAGAAGGATGGATACATGAAGTGGTTTGCTGGAAATGTTGCTTCAGGAAGTGCTGCAGGAGCATCTACGTCTTTGTTTCTGTATCATTTGGATTATGCACGTACTCGACTAGGCACGGATGCAAAGGACAGTGGCAGTAAGAGGCTGCCCCAGTTTAAAGGGCTGCTCGATGTCTACACAAAAACCTTGTCTACTGATGGGATTGTTGGTCTATACCGAGGATTTAGCGTTTCGATTGTGGGGATTACGCTGTACAGAGGCATGTATTTTGGGATTTACGACAGCTTGAAGCCTCTGGTTTTGGTTGGAAATTTTGAGGTAAATATGTATCAATTTTGGTATATCTTCGTCTAGCTACACATTCAACCTTGTATCATAAAACCTTTTACTAGAAGATTTAGGCTCCATGCTTAACATACAACATAACATTTGGCACCATCTATGAGAAAGGCAACAACTGAAATATCCTTCATAAAGATGAAATATTTGTCTATTACTTTCAACGATATCTCAAACCCATTTCTTTGATTGTATTTAATAATTGCTAGTGTACAAATGATAGTCTTGGGACCTGCTTCTTGGAGAAATACAATATGTTCTTGCCATAAGCATGGATATCTTCAGTGCCTTCTTTATGCATTTCCTTCAAAGTCCTTGAAACTTTGTGATTTATTGTTTTATGAAGGGTAACTTTGTTGCTAGTTTCTTATTGGGGTGGAGCATCACAACCTGTTCTGGGTTATGTGCATATCCTTTCGACACACTGCGACGAAGAATGATGCTTACCTCTGGACAAACCTTGAAGTACCGTAGCGCTCTTCATGCCTTCTCAGAGATCATTCGCCTCGAGGGTTTTCCTTCTCTTTTTCGAGGAGTCACTGCCAATATGCTTGCTGGTATTGCAGGGGCTGGTGTTCTTGCTGGTTATGATCAACTGCACGAAGTTGCGTGTAGACACGGTTACTCCTTTGGGGAACCTCAAATAGCCTCAAAATGATCGAAAATGGTACACACAACTTTTATTTGTTGGTTGCCAGATAATTGCAAATGGAAGTATTTTACAGGTTTGTGTTTCATTAAGTTAGTGGCCAATAAGAGTGATGTAAATAGAGATTTAGTTCAACTCCTTACCTAAGATCCAATATCATACGATTTACCTTGAATATTTGGTGAGAAAATCCCAAGTTGACCTGTAAATGCAACATGAGGACTGAACATTGTATTCCCATTGTAAGACACCAAAAGGTAATAGATTATTGGTTGTGATCCAATATCCTCCAATCTTTTTTATGATGCAGCATGAGTTCTGAATGCAATACCCCACCCTCGCTTGACCTAAGGAGTTGTTGAGTAACATTCTCGATTCTCCCACAAATTCTCACCTCCAAACTTTAAGCTCTTGAGAACATAAAAGAGATGGTGTGATGGGTCTTAACAGCATGAGAAAGTTCAAAGGGTACCCCTATGGAAAATGACATGAAAATGGCCCTACAATCAAAGTATTTATAGTTGTGTTTTTACCAAACCTACGTGTCAGATTCAGCAAATTTGAACGTTATTTACAATTTCGTTGAAAAATATTGGTAGTAACTTAATTTTTTCACATAATGATTAAAGTGTCTCCATTAGAGTCTTCTCGAGAGGGTTTGGATTGTGTGGTCTTATACACGAGACCACATGTTTTTGTTTTCCCTACATTATTTTACTCTTAGTCCATCTTAAGCGAATTTAGTAAGAGACTAAAACGAGAAAACCTCGAGAAAACAACTTTTCTGAACGACCCCATAACCCTCGTTTCAAAAAGTAAAAAAAGTGCCAATGATATACCTAGGTAAAATTACTCGAAAATGGCATGAAAATGAAAGTATTTGAGGTAGGTTTGTTTACTAAACATGTGTAAATTTCATAATATTTGAACGTTACTTACAATTTCGTTCAAAAATATTGAAAGTAACTTTGTTTTTTCACATTATGGTCTTTTCGAGAGGGTTTAAATTGTGAGATTTTATACATATGACTACATATTTTTTTCTTCCTTAGTTTACGCTTAATACATATTTAGTGAATTTAGTTAGAGACTAAAACGAGAAAACAAATTTTCGTTAACCATGACTCCTTTCAAAAAAGGAAAAAAAGTGTTAATAGTACACCTATGAAAAATGACTCGAAAAAGGCCCGAAAATGAAAGTATTTAAGGGTTGTTTGTTTACTAAACATACGTGGCAATTTCATAAAATTTTAACATTACTTGGAGTTTTGTTGAAAACTATTGAAAGTAACTTGGGTTTTTTTTACATAATGATTTAAGAGTTTTCACTCGAGTCTCTTCTTAGGAGGGTTCAAATTGCGGTCTTATATACATGACTACATTTTTTTTTCATTATTTTACGCTTAGAACAATCTCTAGTGGATTTAGTATGATACTAAAACGAGAAAACAACTTTTCTGAGCGAGTTAATGACTCTTGTCTCAAACAGGAAAAAAGTTGTCAATGCTAACACCCATGGAAAATGAAAATTTTAAGTTTGATTTTTTTATTAATTATGTGTCAAATTTATCAATTTTGAATGTTTCTTAGAGTTACGTTGAAAAATATTGAAAGAAACTTCGTTTTTTCACATAATGATTTCAGTGTCTCCATTAAGGTCTTTTCGAAAGGGTTCAGGTTGTGAGGTCTTTGAGATACAGAGTACATGTTTTTTTCTTCCTCATTTACACTTACGGCAATCTTTAGTGGATTTGGTATGATACTAAAACGAGAAAACAAATTTTCTGAACGAGTTAATGGCCCTCGTCACAAAGAGGACAAAAAGTGTCAATGCTAACACCTATGGAAATTGACTCGAAATGACCCGAAAACAAGAAAACAACTTTTTTGAATGACCCTATGACCCATAGTAGGAAAAAAGTGCTAATGGCACACCTATGGAAAATGACTCTAAAATGACCCGAAAATGAAAGTAGTTAAGGTTTCTTTTTTTACTAAACATATGTGTTAAATGCATCAAATTTGAACGTTCCAACCAATAAAGTAACTTAGTGTGTTCACAAAAAGACTTAGGTGTCTCCGTTAGGGTTTTCTTCCGATTGTACTAAGAATATAATTATAAAAAGAAAAACAAGAATTATATTCTTAGTACAATGTTTAGTGAATTTATTAAGAGACTAATACTAGAAAAAACTGTTTCAAATAGGAAAGAAGGTGTCAATGGTATGAAAAATGATTCGAAAATGGCCCGTAAATGTAAGTATTGAAGGTTGTTTATTTAGTAAACATATGGAGAAGGAGAAATGCAATAAGCTTGTTTTTTGTTTATTATACTAAAACTGGCAGAGTTACAGATGTATATACAGTCATAATGTCTCATTTTGGAGCCAAAAAGCCTGCATGCTTCTTTCCCATTGTACTCTTTTTCTTAATTATGGCTTACTAAAACCTACAACTTTCAAAGGATCCAATCCAAAGGCTTCATACACCCGAACAATTAGGTTCTACTGCTACCATATCATATCTTACATGCAGGGCTTTACAATTATACGTCTTTTATCATATCATATGTGTGTGTATCATGTTAGTCACCAAGGTGGTGCCCGAGCATCCACGGCAGCAGGAGGGCTGCCGATCTATCGTAGTTGGCAGCCACGTCTTTGTCTCTCGTGCTGTGGGATGGGTAAGGGCAACTGCATCATATCGATAAAATCAACTAAAAATCATTTTTTAAGCACTTAGAACGTCATTCTATAATTAAGATACCAACGTCGTGGTCATGGCAAGAGATGGGAATGGCTGAGGGAGGAGAAGCGGGGAAACGCCATGGCTATACTGCTGCTCCTGCTCCGATGGTGGATTTTGAGCTTGTGCTTTTTCCTTCTCTTTTATCTATTTATATATATATATTTTTTTAAACCAAATGATTAGAGAAGTAGATCATTGTGTTGTCTAACTCTACAGTTGTATGCATATACGAAGGTAAAAAAAACATTACCTTCTTGGCTAACATGTTGTTTTGCTCCTGTAGGGCCTTGTCCTGATCAAACAACGCAAATTAATTTAACCCATACAAATCTTTTTCACTTACTCTCTCATGTTGGCTTCATAATTTTAACTACAAGTTTATGCACATTCAAGCTTGGATTGAAGTGATATATAGGACACAAAACTGAGAAAAGCTCAAACTTGTTCCTTGTTGTTGATCCAAATTCATGTTGGTTTGAATTCATGGTGCCAAGTAGGCCTAAAATTCTACAACGTTCATCGCAAATTGGCTCCATACTCATTAAGGCTAGTAAAAAAAAAAAAAAAAAAAAAATGTACTTATAAGAAATGAGTTCAATCTCTATGGTCCCACCAATAAAGGATTAAAATTTGATCAAATATTATCATTGGCAAAATACTTGCAAGTTGCTCAAAATACGTTCATAATAAGTGAGATGGAGCATGAATATGAAAAATCATATAAGTCTCCAAGAGTTGCGTTCGGCTTGTAAGGTTTATACAAAGTTGAAGTTGAGAAGGAGAGACACTTCTAGTTTGAGTAGAGCATTTGTATTCGATACAACACATCGAATATCTTTGACACTTATTGGACACATATCAAACATTTATTAAACACACATTAATGAATGTCTTAATAAACCTGTTTTTTTTTTAAAAAAAATTGTGATTGGCCAAAAAATTGGAAAAAAAAATAGAAAAACAGCTGAGAAGAAAGCAAGTATAAGATTACCTTTTTCTGAAGCTCTGAAATGGATTCATGCATGAGTTGGTTCTGTGGGAGAGAAGGTTTTGGGATGCAGTCAGCAAAACCTACTCCAATAATGTTGGACAAAATAATGGAATTCAAAATATCGCAATTAAAATACTTGAAAATACCTTCCTAGCTCTTATTTGTTTGAGTGCAGAATCAAGTTGTTGTTCAGTATTTTGAAGCTCTTTTAGAGTCAAGGAGTCAAGATCTTCCCCCATGAAATGCCTGCAAATTCAACCAAGTTCTGGATTAAGCCTTGGCTACTTCCAATTACAAAAAAAAAAAAAAAAAAAAAAATCATCCAAAGAGGAGAAAGAGATTGAGAACCTGTGGTTTTTCTGTAGAACCTCTACTCTGGCTTTCAGCTTTGCATGTTCAAGACTCCAATTTCCCTATAAACAAAGCGCAATTTCATAATTGATTGAAGTTTAGAATGAAATTGCGTAATGGGATCATGGGTTTTGTTCGTACATTTGATTGGTTATCATTTGCAATAAGTCTCCTTTCTGCATAGGAGTACCTTTCATAGCGCTCCAGGATTTTCTCCATGCTGCTCATAAAGGTACATTCATTAACACTCTCATTTAGAGTCTTAAAAAGTTGTAATTTGAATAGACTTCAAAGCAAGAAAATTCAAGACAATTCATACCTTCCTTGCTTTCTGTAAAGATTAAATATTTTTCCCAAGTAAGATTGAAATATTTGTTGAACCAAGAAAACCTAAATTTGGTTGCTTCTTAAAAGCTTTAGTTAATCGTGTTCGTGATTTGAAATCATAAAAAAGCAAAACATTCTGTTCTAGAACCCAAAAGTGACGCTGTAGCTACATTGGCATGCGTCATTATTCACAGCATATTACATTAAACCCACACTTCAATTGTTAAAAATAAAAAAAACATAAGACCCACACAATACAATAGTATATATTAAAGTTCGGTGATAGTTCTTCAGGTTCATCCAATGATACAACAAGTGCATCAAGAGGGACAGGGAGCTAAGTTGCACAGAAAAACACATCCAGACAAGGATTGAAAAACAAAGTTTAAGACTCATCCTGCCTGTTTCCTTACTGGGTTATGATTGTAAGCAACGAAGCAACATGGGTATTCAGAGTTGAAGGCAAAAATAAGCATAAAAGAAGATAAAGTGAGGGGAAATTGAGAGAAAGAAAAGGGAAAATACCAAGAATCAGTGGAGTATTCAAAGAGCTTGCCCTTGGTGGAGAAGACAATAAGAGCAACTTCGGCATCACAAAGAACTGAAATCTCATGGGCTTTCTTCAGCAAACCGGACCTTCTTTTAGAGAAAGTAACTTGGCGGTTGATCTTGTTCTCAATCCTCTTCAACTGCACTCGCCCCCGACCCATTTCCACCAACAAAACCAAGATCACTTCATTCCCTTCCTTCAAAAATGGAATCAACACATCTTGTTCTCAAACCTCAATAACGTTGGACTTTGTTTGTGGAGAAAAAGGAAAGGGAGAATAAAAGTAGGCTCAGATTTTTTAGATGGGTGGGTTTGCAAAACCAGAGTGGTTTCGTCTAAAACGTTGTCGAGCTCTCATTGGCCGAGGTCCTTCCAATGACGTATCGTTTTGGTCGTCACCATCCGGGATTTTCAGCCACACCCTTCTTTTTCTTTTTCTTTTTCTTTTTCTTTTTCGCGTAAATTAATTACTTTTTGGGTATTATTTGCTTGGTTGGGCCATAGTAAGGTTAAACAGCTGAATTGGCGACAGGTAAATTTATGAATGAATCAACTTGGTATGATCCATCTCTTCTGCTAACCCTAACCCTAACCTAATTCTTGAATCGAACACAACGTTTGTTCTTATTTTGATAAAAAAAAAAAAAAAGCGGAGTATGAATTCATCAAGAACAACGTGTGTTCTTATTTTGATATATATAATATTTTCATATGTATATGAGCTAAAATGAAAATGTTTGCAACAAGAGAAAAAAGAAAAAAGAAAAAGGGTATGGTTCCATTATTTGACATAAAGCATACACTACCATCTATACTCTAATTCTTCCCCCACTTATCTTATACCTTTCTTATTCTCTCGGATTCAAACATTTCTATTTTACTCTTCTTTACAAAAAAAGAAAAAAAAAAAAACAAATATCAATTAATTAAATAAGCCAATGCTTTTTGGTAGAATAATAAAAGGAAAAAATGGGAACCATATGCCCATATTCATTAATCTTGGGCCTCAAGTTTGACCAAATTTTAGAATATGGGCTGACCTCAAGTCCTATTCCTTTCACAACTTTTTTTTTTCTTTTTTCTCTTTTATTTTAGAAAAATAGTTTTTATTAAATTGTTAGTATCTTTATAAGATTATATTTTACCAGAGGATAAATAGATTGGACTATCAAATTTGAGTGAATACAAAATACCACGACACAGATGACATAAAAAGAACACATCATGCTTTCTTAGTCCCCATTCCTCACGATACTTTGATAATCTTGAGGAAGAATGCAAAAGAAAAACCATTTTTTTTGTAATGGAAAAACAATATAATGAAGCATACGTAACAATATAATTAACCATATGTATGATTTGACAAGTCATAAGCTTGTTTTGTTGAATATGTTTGGAATTGGAGAGTCGTAATTACAAGTTGCATAGATCAATACAATACTGGACACAGGTAGGAGAAGAGTCTAAGCATGCCCCAAATTCATATACATTACTGGGAATAAGCCTCTGAGTTTAGTCTTAAAGCATCCATCCAACCTGAAATCCATTGCCATTTTGGGGTGGAGCTCCAACGTTCCTATTATTGTTATTATTATTATTACTCAATCCAACTGAGCCAACAGAATTGTACCTGAAACCCAGAAGAGAAAATGGAAGTTTCACAAACAAATAATGGGTTTGCAACTCTTTCACCAAAAAAGAAGGGATTTTTTTAATACCCCATTTGTAAAGTGGGTATGGGTTGGGTTATGGGGTAGAAAAAGGCGTCTGATTGTGAAGCAATGCGGCTGGAATAGTCCATGCTGTGTCCTCCCGCGCCGCCTTCCCAGCCCCACGCCGCGGAGGCTGCCGCTACTTGCGCGCTGCTTTCTTCCAGCTGCACGGGTGCAATCACAATTCCAACACACTTAATTATTTCTAAAAATGTTAATGTACTCATTTTACCTTCTTTCTTAAACTTCGGTTGTCTTCAACAAGCATATGCTCCTGCATGCATCAATATATTCTTTCAACACAACCTAATTAAGATACAAATAAATAAGAAATAAAATATGTACCTTGCGTTGAAGTTCTGCAAGCTGGTCCATTAGGGTTTGTGTCTGTTTAAGGAATAATGATTGGATTTTAAGGAAAGAGAGCTCAAAATGCAAGGTTTATTCTACTAAGTATGTGCAATTCTGAAGTACCTTTGTGGATCTAATGCGCTCCAAGGATGTCTCCAATTGATGCTCAAGTTGCTCAAGTTCCTTGGCATTCAGCGGTCCTAAATCTTCCCCCAAAAGGTTTCTATATGTAACATTCACATTCAACAATTTTAACAACCACCTAATCTCGGTGACGCACACTCAAATGCTACAAGTTTGCAATATACCTCTGAGATTGCTGCATGAATTCAACTGTGGCTTTTAGGTTCAAGTAATCATCAAAGCTCTGTGGCTGCTGATGAGAGCCATAACAATTAATACAAAAATCTCTCAATAATACACTAATATATATATATATATATTAATTATCATTCTTTGGTTTTTTTTCTTCTGTTTTTATGGCTAATTAAAGTATTTATTATATGTTACATAACATTTAATATGAAACATCATAGTCAGCACATATTGCTTGTCCTATGATGTTTGAACGACACTGAGAGTTGAAGTGTTTAGGGTTTGGATATATCTCCAAACCAATAATCCTATATTTATAATTTAACCTATAGTTGGAGAAACTATAACATTAAATCTACTTACCCCATTGTTATTTAGGTGGCGGGCACCATCCCGTATGTCATAACTACACCTTCGATACTTCTCGAGCGTCTTAGTCATGCTTATCATAAATAAACAAAAAAAAAAAAAAAAAA